GTTGGAAAAACTTCAACAGCAAAATGAAATCTTTTACAATATTTATATAACAAAAACAGGAAGTGAAATTAACGGGTTCGGCAGAATAAATGCATATTTCCTATAATCAAACTGTTCATCATAATTTTTAGACATGCAATACGAAAAATTAGTAATTATAACATATTCAATTTTTCAATTGAATCTCTTTATGAAACTATCTTATCAAACTTATTGGTTGTTGAAATGATATTATTTTTTTTTGTTTTAATTTGTCCATACTCATTATCTGGAAATTTCATGAAATTGAGCAGCTTAGTTAGCTTGTGTGTTGATTATTCCCAGTATATTGGTTTTTACCAATAAGGCGGAAAACTCTTGTCACACCATCATTTTGTTACATGTTGATTTACAGTTTTGCATCACATTAAAATGAGTTTCATTTATTCCTAAGAACTGTAGTCCTTTCATGTTTATAAAATTAAAGAAATATATGTGTTTCTATAAACAACAAGAATAAGATGGTTGAGGGTAAGTGAAGATTAAAACATGATAGTATAAAATCATATCCCATTGTTAAACCTTATGATAGCATGACGATAGTTTTCTGTCTGATGTCCAGAAGAACTATTGCGCTTGAAAGGGATGGGAGTGTGGGTATTGACAATTCCATAACCAACATCCACACCCATAGATGAATAAATTCTACTAATTGATTAGAATCGATTGAAATGTAAAATAGGGGTGTGGGTGGGTGTGAGTCGGTGTCAGAAAATCATGCTCTCATTCATTCCACACCCACACCCTTCCGTCACTCATTTCACATTATTTATTTTTTAACAAAGGAAATCGGTGTATAATGTTCTACTCATCCATACCTACCCTCTGATTTCCGAGGAAGTAAATTCATACCGATCTCTTAATAAGCTTGCTAGAAAAATGATGTATGTTTCTGCTACATTAGAACCAGTTGAATATGTTTTTCCAAAGCGGTGTTTTAATGAGAACGAATCATTCAAGTTTTACAGCAGCTAATATTTGTATGTTAGCATTTTTAATTTGCAATAAGACATCAATTTAATGATAATAAATAAATTTTACTTGTAAACAGATTTTTGTTTAGGCTTTTTTTTTTTTATAAAAAAGTGATATTTTTTACTGTAATGTGGAACTGTATAAAAAAGAAGAGTTGATTTTACTTCTATTATTTTGTTGAGTAATCTAGAGTAGTTGCAGCATTTTATTTTATGTGTAACTTCTTATTTTTGTTTTTGTGCATAAAAACTAGGAACTACATAACGTGTAATGAAAAATCTGTGGTTGACGTTCTTTGTATAAAGAAAAACAAGAAATGAAAAAAATGGTAGAAATAATTTGACTCGACTCGACTCGAGAAATCGCTTGACTCGCCCAGCCCTGGTTTGATAATAGAATTTGGTAGTGGTTCAGTAACTGAACCACTACCATACTCTATTATCAAACAGTTCCAAACTGTATTATGATTGTCGCATTTTGCGATCATACATTCCTTATCACAAAACTTATTTATTCGCAAATGTTTGATGTGTTATTTATAGTCGGAAAAAAATACCCACAAGAAGCATTTATTAAATATGATCCATTTTAAAACATCTTCCACGTTCATTGCATCACCAAAAACCGTGCAAAAACTTTTGAAATATCAAAGCAGATAATATATTATGCTTTAAGTTGAATCAGTTAAAATAAAGATAGACGAATGGAGAAAAGTATAAATCTTGAGAGATAGAGTGTAGCTGTGGATGTGAAGTGTGGGTACCAGTGTCGATATTGGTCTTCTCTTCACCCACACCCTTCAACAGATGCTACCAATGTCCATCAATATTTACTTCATATATAAACGATTCTTTTTATTTGACTTCGACTATTTAAAAAGCATTTACTCAACAGTAACCTATTATCTTCTTGAAATCAGTTTGACGGTTGTATATATCCTTTGTTATCTATCATTTGTGCGTTTCAGACGGTATCAATCAATTGAAGGACTTGTCGCCGCCGCCATGTTACTAGATTTTTTCTTGTCGTCATCGCCGATAGACGAAATAAGTAATTCGAAGTTCAATTGCCATCGCCCGTCTATGCAAATGTCTTATATCATTGTGTTGTATTGGTCAACCATTCACAGCGCATCCCTATATATATATGTTTCTAATTTTTTCCCGAGACAATTATTTATATCATTCGGAAGTTTATTTGATATACGAAAAAATGTATCGTCTTCAACAACAAGAAAAATTTCGAAAATTATCTACTTCCGAGTGAAAGACGAACATGAGTATAAGAATAATTTATAATTGGAAGTAGGAAAAATGAAATTTGTAAATTTTCATTAAAATAATTTCATTATCAATATAGCGCTTGTTTGAGACCTACTCATATTATAATATTACAGTAGTCTTTTGTGAATCATATAGAGTAACATCATTCAATATGATGTCTAAATAATTCCATTCATATTGTTATTTGTTCTATCTTCTTATTTTATAAATATGAAAATTAATGATATTTCAATTTTTTAAAGAATACATTGGTTAATCAGAAACAACCAATTGATGATCAACTTGTATTTCAAAAATATAATTTAATCAATGTATCTTATCAACATCGTTTTAATCAATCTGAGTGAGCGAATATTTCCAAAAACTAAATCTAATTCATTTGTTATAGGACGACAATCAGTTGATATCCAATTTCGATTAGTTGTTTTCGAACGAAAGCTAAATGATATAAAAAAGGAGATTGATCATTATGAATAAATACGCCGCAATAGAAGAAAAATTTTAATCTCCAACCAGAAACGCAAAATGCAAAATGGTGATAAAGTTAAACAAAATCATAATGTTTTGGAATCGTTTTTTATCATCTAGGAATCATTTTACCTGTAGTGACTATTATTTATTTCGTCAAACAAAAGACATCATAAAGAAATTCAAGAATTTTTTATTGTTATGTTTTGGGGTGTGGGTGTGTGGATGTGGGGTGTGGGTGTGGGTGCGGGTAGGTGCATGTGGGTGTTAGTGAAGAGAAGTATGACACCCACACCCACAATTGTTCTTTTTTTGGAAAGCATTGGGGAAAAACACCCAATTCGAGATAACATTTATTGAACAAGAAATAGAAACAGAAATTAGTAAATGAGATTATTTTACTTATCCGAAGCTCAGACAACGGATAAAGAAAAATATAGTATATATTGCAATGCAAAAAAAAATAGAAACATATCATGCATAAGAAGAGTATTCTTCGAACTATATAGCCAATCAGACGCTAAAAGTTTGGTAAAATCCTATTTATATAATTCCTTGGCACTTCGATCTTTCCATATAGTTAAGTAGTTGAACAAACAAAAGAAAAGTAAAAATTTGTATTTAATCACTATTACGTAACTCAACTACTAGTGTTGATGCTTGATCATCTTTACTAATGGAAATATGCTAAGAACTGTGTTATTAAGTTCGAGATTACTCAAAATAAATAGAATTATTGATGAAGAAATACTTTATAGTGGAAATATTCTATTTTCAGTTCCACTTAAATTTAGTATAAATTATTTATCAAATAAAACAAATAAATAAATCTGAAAACGTAGCGTTTTTTTTTTATAATGAAAAATTAAAGAGAAACTTTATCTTGATAGTTAAAGTGTCATATCAACTTAAGTATACATTGAGAATAATTTGAGTGTGTCTTTCATATCTTTTCCCTGACAAGAAATGCGTTCTTAGATATAGAAGTTATTCTTCAGGGAATATGACCTAGGGCACGTTCTCAAAGATACGCTATTTTACTTTAGCAATGTACTCTCCAATGTAAAGAACATATCTAAATGCTTAGAAGGAAGCGCATAGATCAAATACGGTAACGACATTCTACTGAATATGTTTTTATTTAATAAAAGATTTCTTCAAGTATGATATGTTTGACATGGATAACCTTTTAATTATGTCTGGAAAAACGAATTCTTCTCGTAAGGAACTGTTTTCATGCTTTCGAGAGACGTTTTCTTTAATAAAACAAACATCTTTTGTTAGTTGTTGTCGAAAATGCAAAATTAAAGCAAAATTTTTTTTTTAAATATAGTTAGGTAGAACGTAATGATCTGATCAAGAATATTATGTGTTGTTTTCATTTTATTGAAATAAGATCTTAGGGAAAAATATTTCAGTTTTTTCAATCATCTACTTTATTTCGAAAAAGAAGGGGCAATTTTCGGTAATCGATAAATTGTCAATTGTTTGTGCTTTCTTTAAATTTCAAAACTGTTCATTTCAGATTCAGTTTTTCACGTTTAAATCTGACACAAACAGTTTCGAAATTTGAAGAAAACAAAAACCAATTGACTATATCGGAAATCAGTTTTTCTTGTTCTATTAATCTTTTGTCAAAAAATGAATCGTGTCACATTGTGATGACATACACTCCTCTTCTCTGAAACAAATCATCATCCCTCTATATTCCGAAAAAAAAATGCACAAAAAAATCCAACACAAGAAGAGAAAAAAAACAAATATATATGTCCCCTCTTCCAACGCATCCTCCTCTCATGTATCACATGCCAACCATGCTCTCCTACTCAGAGAGTGACTCATGTAAAGAGAGGCGGAAAAGAGGGGGAGAAAAGAACAAGAAAAAGAAAAGAGAGAAGAAGAAGAAAAAAAAACAAAGCATGCAACGATGAGTGTCCAGAAACTCATCTAGAACATGTATCATGGCCATCGGGTATGACACACATATTCAAAATTTTGGATATTTAACATTGCTAAGTTAACTTCTATTAAAACGAATTGTAAATGATTTAATTTATATAATTTGGAAGAATATTAAAAGTTATGTTAAATTCATGGTATTATTCAATACTATCTTGTGCTTATTTTCACTCGTTATTATTGTGACTAATAAATTTTCCATGAATATATGTATGAAAAAATAAAAAATATGTTCAGGGTTCATCGACACATAGTGTAGATTAGTTGAACTTTTGTTCAATGGCGTAAGAACATTTGTACTCGATAATTAGTTGTGTCTGCTACATATAAATTAAGTTGACTGTCAAGTGCCACCCCATAAGGAATACCGAGTAGGCTTGAAGTCGTACCAGAAACACCAGTGACACCAGCAACTGTTGTGCCATTCAACTGACCAGCCAAGAAAAGTTGTACTCGAGAATTTCCTGTATCGGCAACATACACATTACTCATATAATCGACTGTTAAACTTACAGGCATATTGAGTAGTGTCGATGTACTACCACTCGCTCCACTGATGTCACCAGCGACAAG